GTCAACTGAGGGGGAGGGATAAAATACCCCCAAACTCCAGCCTAAAACACAGTGCTTTCACCAGTTCCAAGAAGATTCCATAACCAATTGCACTCTGATTCAGGTGACCCTGAGGGCACAAAAAAACCGCCAAGTGGCTTCAAGAGCTCTCAGGGAGAGTGTTAATGACCAGAGGACTGCAAAAAAAAAAAAAAAAAAAAAAAAAAAGGATCCTTCCAACCCCACCCATCCATCCTGTCAAAACTAATCCTTCCAATGCCTCCACCATCCGGTCAGAATCGATGAAACTTCAAGGTGTTGGTGACTATCTTTAAAGTGCTCCATGGCTTAGGGCCTGGGTATCTACGAGACCACCTTCAATAGCCTCCCACCAGTCAGTACGCTCGCACAGAGAGGGGCTCCTCAGGGTGCCGTCGACCAGACAATGTCGGCTGGCAACCCCCAGGGGGAGAGCCTTCTCTGTGGCAGCACCCGCCCTCTGGAACGACCTACCCCCAGAGATACGCATGATCCCGGACCTCCAGACTTTTCGTCGGGCTCTTAAAACTCACTTATTTCATCTAGCCGGGCTGGCTTGATCCTATCTTTCAGTTTTAATTTGTAATTGATTTTATTGGGATGTTTTTAAATTGTGGGCCGAAATTATTTAATATCTTTTAAAATTGTTTTAAATTTTGTATGCTATGTTTTACCTTGGCTGTTCACCACCTTGAGTCCTGCTGGAGAAGGGCGGTATAAAAATCAAAGAAAATAAATGAATAAAAATAAAATAAGATGAGAAGTGAAAATTGTCTTCTCCTCCTTTCTCAAGGAAAAAAAACCAACAACAATCCAGTTGCTTTTTGAAAAAGCATCTTTGTGAGACAATTCTTGGCTTTCTTATTTTCTAGACATCAATTAACTTTTTTTCCTTTTTTGGTACTTTTGAGTCTGTTTTGACTCCTGGCAACTGCCTGGATGAATCCCTACAGTTTTCTCAGCAAGATTTCAGAAGTGTCTTGCCCTTGCCTCCTTCATAGGGCTGAGAGGGAATGACTGGCCCAAGGTCACCCAGCTTGTTTTGTGAATCACAGTCTCAGTTTCTAGCCTGGGGTTTTAAACTCTACACCCAACTGGCTCTCATCCATCCCATAATTTATTATTATGTCCCTTACTGTGGGACACATCTTCAGACAGCCTTCCACATTTGCTGCCAGCAATGAAATGAATATTTCAGCTGTGACTGCACAACCTGGAAGCCCATATACAAAATATTCTCCAATTGGGAGACCTGGATTCATGTTTTAATGAAAAAAATTACTAATCCAATAACTCACCCTTCCAAAATGTATTTAGCATAATACTTTAAGCAATTCATACCAGCTTTCTCTCTCTACACATTGGAACAGATCGGACCTGCCAGCTTCAACTTCCAAATTTACCATTTTGACAGAAAAAAATGTGACATTTCCTTGATATAAAAGCAAAAAAACAAAGGAAGAGAAACAGGACATATTCACACCATATACATTAAGGACATTGTGATATAACAAGGAGACATTGGCAATATCATTTTAAAACCTTCGACCCCCAAAGAGAGCTACATGGCTTGATTCTCTAAGAGACAGGAGTTGGGAATTTGAAGGGAAGCCACTATGTGTCTGTAATGTTGACATGGAAACTTCTGAAGGTATGGATAGAGAGCTGAAAACCTTGAGATGGTGGGTCCTTGGTGCTCTCTCAGCTTGGACGTTTCATTACCAAACTAGGTAACATCATCAGTGCTTGGTGATGGTGTCACCTAGTTTGGTAATGAAATGTCTGCCAGAAAGCCACCAAGCTCAGAGAGCACCAAGGAGCCCACAAGGTCAACTCTGAGCTACAAATATCCTCTTCTATCAGAACCTTGAGATTGGGCGATGGACAAGAACCCCAAAGCACAATTCACGGACTCGTGAAAATTTCTCCGTTGGGGCAGAGATCCTCCCCAATCATAACAATGGCTCAAGAAAAACCTCATCTTGGCCTCAAAGGATCCAGGGATTCAAATGTCTATACAGGTAATCCTTAACTCATGACCACAACTGAGTTCCAAAATTCCTGTTGCTAAAGTGAGACGTTTGCTAAGTGAGTTTCACCCCATTTTATGACTTCTCTCGCCACAGTTGTTAAGGTAGTGACACGGTTGCAAAGTGAATCAGGTTACCCTTTTAACTCTGCTGTCAGAAAGTCACAAAGGCAATCCTATATAACTGGGGTACTGTGACCATCATAAATACATGCCAGTTGCCAAGCCCCCAAATTCTGATTAACTGGGGATGCTGAACTGGTGTGAAAAACAGTTGGAAGTCATTTTTTCAATGCCTTTGTAACTTCAAACAGTCACTAAACAAGAGGTTGCAAGTGAAAAGCTCCCTGTGTTTCAGACCATAAGCACTCTAATTAAGGGTAGTCCTTATGACCAGTTATTCAGAGACTGTTCAAAGTTACGACCAACCCCCCAAAAAGGGACTTATGACCTAGATTCAAAATTCCAATAATTGGGCCACCTTTGTGGTCATGTGACCAAATTTAGGGTGCTTGGCAATGCAGAATAGAATAGAATAACAGAGTTGGAAGGGACCTTGGAGGTCTTCTAGTCCAACTCCCTACTTAGGCAGGAAACTCTACACCACTTCAGACAAATGGTTATCCAACATTAAAAGCTTCCAGTGTTGGAGCACTCACAATTTCTGGAGGCAAGTTATCCCACTGATTAATTGTTCTAACTGTCAAGAAATTCTTCCTTAGTTCTAGATTGCTTCTCTCTTTGGTTATTTATTTTATTTATTATTTATTTTGTTGCATTTCTATGCCGCTCCACTCCCAAGGGACTCTGGGCGGTTAATTTCCACCCATTGCTTCTTATCCTGCCTTCGGGTGCTTTGGAGAATAGCTTGATTCCCTCTTCTTTGTGGCAGCCCCTGAGATATTGGAACACTGCTATCATGTCTTCCTTAGTCCTTCTTTTCATTAAACTAGACGTATCCAATTCCAGCAACCGTTCTTCATATGTTTTAGCCACCAGTCCCCTAATCAGGGGTGAAATGCTCCTGGTTTGGATCGGATCGCCTGATCTAGTAGCGATGGAGGCGGGTGGTTCGGAGAACCACCCGCAAAAATCCCCCCCTCCCATGCCCAGCTGAGCCGCACAATCATCAGAGGCTTTTTTTTTTTAAAGCATTTTTTCTACAACTACGGCTGAAAAAAATGCTTTTAAAAGTAAAAAAAAAAAAGTCTCTGATGATCACGCAGCTCATCAAAGGCATTTAAAAGAAAAAAACCCTTGTTTTCTTTTAAATGCTCTGACAATCCTAGCTGAGTTCCCTGATCGGCAGAGGCTTTTTAAAGCCTCTGCCGATCAGGGAACTCAGCTGGGATCATCAGAGCCTTTTGAAAACATTTTTTTACAACCTCTTCGCCGAAGAGGTTGTAGAAAAAATGGTTTTAAAAGTTAAAAAAAAAAATTGGCCACACCCACCCAGTCACATTACCATCCCCCCCCCACACAGAACCGGTAGTAAGAAATTTTAGATTTCACCCCTGCCCCTAATCATCTTTGTTGCTTTTCTCTGCACTCTTTCTAGAGTCTCCACATCTTTTTTACATCGTGGCGACCAAAATTGGATGCAGGATTCAGCCAGTCTCAGTTGCCTTTATGGCCATTTGCAATGTCCCACAATGTTGTTGCTTTTTTTAAAAAAAATGGCACTTGCTTCCAATTTTAGGGCAAAACCATGCCCATAGCAAAACACTAGTTCCTTTAAGGACTACAGTATTCGCTTAAGGACCATGGCAATCACTTCACAACCGTCATGTTCGCTTAACAACTGTCACAAAAGAAGTAATAAAATAAGGTCATTATTTGATGTGACTGACCTGTTTTACGACCGTTACAGTATATGATCATAACTGGGAAAGCTCCATTACAGTTGTTATGTCAAGGACTACTTGTAAAACTAAACTAGTCTCTCTTATAGGATTCATGATTAATTTGGCAGCAAGGAGAATCCTGTGAGCCTCACTGATTAATTATATTTGGGCAATCAAATTTTTCTAGATGATATCTAGAATAAATATAGTACAGGTTAAATAAGCCTTCAGGGGCTTCAGAGGGAGTCAAAAGACAGAGGTCACAATCGTATGATCAAAGCTGCCCCTCCCCCATCTCTGTATATATCTTGAATTTATATGCAAAGCACAAAGGGGCAGGGTTTTGATTGTGCAGTCACAACTGCCATCTTGAAGCTTTTGACCCACTACGAGGTGTGAGCAAAAAGCTTATGTCTGCACTTCACTGGATGGATAATTAATCAATCCAGGCGTACGAACTAGTATAACATAATAACAGTATAATACAGTGTAGAAAAATGGGCCAACTCTATATGTGGGTTCAAATAGAAATTAAGTATGTGATGTGATGTGTCGGGGAAAATCGTTCACCTTTCAAATTAGGAGAACGAAAACATCTCTTTAAATTCAGAAACAATTTTCACTCAACATGCAAACACTGGCAATTTCATAATTCATCCTTGATCGAGTAATTGCTTCAGAAGATATTAAATTATATTATTTGCTTCCATTTTCAAGAGCAGGGTATCTGTTCTAATGGCCTATCTCTCCTCACTGCAAGCTTGAACTAATCTCACAATGAATATGGCAATTATTGGAGATGGGAAAGGAATTCTGCAGTCAACACTTGATTATATTTAAAAGCAGAAAGCAGTATTCCTATTTAACCGGTGGCAGCTTATCTTAGTTAAAATTAGCCTTTGTAAGGGGCTCAAAATTAGACCAATAAATTTCATGCTGTTTGGGTAAGTGACAGCCCTCATCCCCTCAAACACCTGAGCATCCTAGGTGTTTCTGTAACAAGAGATACTTAAGGAGGTTTTAATACTGTTGTGTATTTGCTTCCTCTGATTTTTCAGTAAACACTTTCAATCCATTAAACATTTCCACAAGTGTATTCAGTTGCTTACCTTTGAGCCTCGCTCATTAAAAATAATTTCAACATCTAAGATTTTACCAAATTGCTGCAAAGAAACAGAAAAATCACATGAGCATTGATAAAAAAAAAAGTCATGAGAATCATTTAAATTTGCATGGAAGGAACATTTCTTCATTTTAAGCAATGTTTACCAAGGGAAACTAACAGAATACATAAAGGCTTGCATGTTTATGCAAACTTTTAAAGGGAGGCGCGATTGGTATCAATATTACCTTCCTTAAGTCCCAGGTAAAATATCTTATTTTGGCCATTTTTATAATTGGGATTGTTTTATTAAAGCCGCTGGAGCTTTCAACATAACACAATTCATAATTTTTGTTGCTGAATATTTAATTCCATCTTATTCAGAACATTTTTTTTTTTTTTGCATTCTGTAAACAGCCCAACTATCATAAGATGAAGGGTAAGCAACAATATTCTACCTGTTACATACCGTATTTTTCGGAGTATAAGACGCATCTTTTTTCCCCAAAAAAGAGGGTGAAAATCTGGGTGCGTCTTATACTCTGAATGTAGCCCCGCCCAGCTTCTCAAACCGAGGTTTCAGAGGCTGAAAAAAGCATCAGAAAAGAAGCTTCCGAAAAAAAAGCCTCCAAACAGAGCTTCAGGGGCTTTTTTTTTTTTTTTTTTTTTTTTTGAAGCTGTTTCGGAGGCTTTTAGAGGCAGGAAAAAAACTTTTTTCTGAAACTGAGTTTCAGAAGTTTCAGAGGCAGGAAAAAAAAGCAAGGCACAGAGCTCACAACCAAGGAACCTGTTGCTAAAATTCACCTCTGGGAACAGCTGTTTGGGGGTATTCTGGGAGGCCGATTCACCTGCCAATCAGCTTTTTTCTTATTTTCCTCCCCAAAAATTAAGGTACATCTTATACTCCGATGTGTCTTATACTCCAAAAAATACAGTATTTTAAATTATTTACTTCATCCCCTCTTCCAAATAGTTTCCCATGAAAACATTTTAACATCCATATTGAACCCCCAAAAAACAACATAACATCCATATTTTTTATCTTCTTGTAACACTGTAGGTAAACATATGTTTCTATTTTTATTTTATTTTTTTTAGATTTTGCCAAGAGCAATATTTAGTTTAATCACTCTTACTTCTCGGATACATTTAAATATGTATGCTTATATAGTTTTCCGTTCTTTGTGCTTCCCTTCATTTCTTCTCTTTAATTAAAAGCAAAATAACATAATAACAAGTTAATCAAGACATTAAAATAATTAAAACAGCACCTGGATGGCAGAGGTAAGATTAATTAATAAGCATCATTGCAGCATAAATAAAAAAAAAGTTGGCATCATTTGCAGATTGCAAGCCGCATCTGTTTTAAAGGATGTCCTCTAAAAAGGGAATGTGCTCAAGGCAAAAGCTACATTTGGCTTGATTAACATTTATTTTAAATGAAAATTAAATAGGATTCAATACATGAAGAGAGCTATATTTCCCATCTGTCATATTAGGGATTGCCATTTCTCAGGAGACTGTAGACGGGATCTGTGGGGTATATTCTCTCACAGGAGATCTTTGTCCCTAAAGCTGCAAATTGTAGATCTTTGTAAAGGAAGACTGCATGGTAATTTTGAAGTTAGGCAGATGTGTCTCTCACAAACTGGCAGATAACAAACTCATGGCCGGCTCGGTGAGGATTTTAGAATGGAACAGAATAGAATAACTTAGTTGGAAGGGACCTTGGAGGTCTTCTAGTCCAGGGGTCAGCAACCCACGGCTCTGGAGCCGCATGTGGCTCTTTCATCCCTCTGCTGCAGCTCCCTGTTGCTGGTCGGCTCCACAATTGATAGGGCTTTTGGTTAGGACAGGTAGAAGTAGGACAGGTAGACAGGTAAAAAGATGCCATGCTAGGAGGAGACTCTATGATGGGGGAACCAACTTCCAGTTGGCAGAGGAAAAAGGACGCCGCGCTAGGAGGAGACTCTATGGTGGTGGTGATGGTGGGGAACCGGACTTTCGGTCGACTCCATAATTGAATGGGGGCTTCCGGCTAGGACCTTTGTGGCTCTTTGAGAGTTTAAGGTTGCCGACCCCTGTTCTAGTCCAATCCTCTGCTTAGGCAGAAAAACCTACACCACTTCAGACAAATGGTTATCCAACATCATCTTAAAAAGTTCCAGTGTTGGAGCCTTCACAACTTCTGGAGGCAAGTTGTTCCACTGGTTGATTGTTCTAACTGTCAGAAAGTTTCTCCTTAGTTCTAGGTTGCTTCTCTCATTGATTAGTTTCCACCCATTGCTTCTTGTCCTGCCCTCAGGTATTTTGGAGAATAATTTGACTCTCTCTTCTTTGTGGCAGCTCCTGAGATATTCGAAGACTGCTATCATGTCTCCCCTAGTCCTTTTCATTAAACTAGACATACCCAGTTCCTGAGCCTGTTCTTCACATGTTTTAGCCTCCAGTCCTCTCATCATCTTTGTTGCTCTTCTCTGCACTCTTTTTTGCAGGAGATCAATGTTTTTCGACAACTTCAAGACGTATGAACTTCATTTTCCCAAATTCCCAAGCCAGCTGAAGTCCGCACATCTGAAAGTGTTGAGGTTGAGAAACACTGCAGTGGATGAATCATTTGTGAGAGGGCTTTTTACAAAGATTTACAGATCCCACGTCGAAAAGGAAATTTATTAATTTCAGGAATCAAATTGACTGTCCAGATTGGATCACTGATTTGAACTGTCAAAACAAATGGGTTGCCTCCAAATGCCACCTGAACATTTGGTGGCTTTTGTCAAATTGAATGAGCTTGTTCAAGTCAGATTGATTTGACAATCCAGACTGGAAATTAGGAACGGAGTCCATTCAAAGTTGATCGAGTCAAACAGACAATTTGCAGTAGATCTACAACTGCCACACTCCTTCTTTACGGCTTCTGAAGCCACAGTGCTCTCGCTCTCTCTTCAATCATTGCAACCTGTGTTTTCTCTGCTACCCAATGAATCTGTAGAATATTTGGTGCTCTTTCAATAAAGGTTCAGTAATTTTGAGAAGCCATAGCAGGAGCTGGAGGGCCCAATCTTAGGAAGAACATATTGTTATTGTCAGGGTAATGAAGATTTAAAGCTGACCAGCCGCTGTAAGGCTGTGGATCAGGACGAGTCAGCAGGGTTATTGCTGCTTTAAGAAGCTGTCTATATAAGGGACACCATGAGAGGGCGACTCTCTCTCTCTCTCTCCTTGTGTATCTCTCTCCTCATCGTGTTCTATCTGCATTGTAGCTCTCCATGTAGAGTTGAAGATTGATTGATTGCCTGGTATGTGCCTATCATGTGTATGCCTTATATAGAAGTCTTGTATATAAACCACTGTTTGTAATGACAAAACCTCTGTGTCCTGTATTTTGCTCCTGGGTTGTTTCAAAATAGTAGTCATGCAGTAAACACTCTGACAGTTATGCTTTTCTGACACCGTTGGTGAAGATCAAACTCTGTTTTGCAGAGTTTTGCCAAAAACAATATTTAATTTAGTGAGTCTTATTTTTCGGGTATTGTCCTCGGTGTCTTCTTGATCACAGACAAAGGTGTCCCAATTCTCCAGGTAGATCTCAAAGCAGCAACACGAAAATATAAAAACTAGTGAACCTAGGCAATCATTAGAATAACTGGCAATTCTAACAAGACAGGTGCAACCTAGTAAGTCAGATACTGGTAGGAAATAGATCAATAAAGATTAACAGTTGACTTTTTTTTAAAAAAATGATTTTTTACAAAACTGGTCATTCCCAAGAATCCTTGCTGTAGTCCTCTCTTTTCTCCAAGAAATTCTCTGATCCCAAATCAAAGTTGTATTGTTTATTTTTTTCCCCTTCTCTTTTCTAGAAAGCAGAACTTCTTTTAGATGTCCAGTGGAGAAAAGAAAAGAAGAGAAGAGAAGAGAAGAGAAGAGAAGAGAAGAGAAGAGAAGAGAAGAGAAGAGAAGAGAAGAGAAGAGAAGAGAAGAGAAGAGAAGCTTATTTTTCTTGTTGTTCAAATGTTGGGGTGGTCTACCTGTCACATCCATGTCCTTGAATGGTGCTTCAAAAAAGACCACGTTTGTTTTTTGGAGCATTTTTTGGTTTACATATGATTATGTAAAGGTGTAAGGGGTAAAGGTTCCCCCTCGCACATATGTGCTAGTCATTCCCGACTTTAGGGGGTGGTGCTCATCTCTGTTTCTAAGCCGAAGAGCCAGCGCTGTCCGAAGATGTCTCCATGGTCATGTGGCCAGCATGACTCAACGTCAAAGGCGCACGTAACTCTGTTACCTTCCCACCAAAGGTGGTCCCTATTTTCCTACTTGCATTTTTTATTACCTGCTTTCAAACTGCTAGATTGGCTGGGACAAATAACGGGAGCTCACCCCATTTACATGGCACTAGGAATTCAAATCGCTGAACTGCCAACCTTTCAATCGACAAGCTCAGCATCTTAGCCACTGAGCCACCGCATCCTGTTTGTGTAACCACCTGGTATTCCAAGGGGCACCTCTGATTGTCAATTTGTAGTAACAGAACAGGGAATAGCTTAAGATCATGCATGCTTATTTCTTTTCAACATATCTTTCCCCTCAGAAGAACTAAGAATGATTTATCTTTTTATGAGCGTGCATATGTGTGAAAGAGAGAGTCTGCACTTAGCACCTTGTGTGTGTAATAACAGACACAATTAATCCACACTATTTAATAGTAACAGAAAACAGAGTTGGAAGGGACTTTAGATGTCTTCTAGTCCAACCACCTGCTCAAGTAGGAGACCCTAGACCATTCCAGACATGGGGCTGTCCAGTCTCTTCTTAAAAGCCTCCAGTGATGGAGCCCCTACAACTTCTGAAGTCAAGCTGTTCCATTGGTTAATTGTTCTCACTGTTAGGAAGTTTCTCCTTAGTTCCAGGTTGCTTCTCTCCTTGGTTAGTTTCCATCCATTGGTTCTTCTCCTGCCTTCAGATGCTTTGGAGAATAGGTTGACCCCTCTGCTTTGTGACAATTCCTCAAGCGTTGGAAGACTGCTATCATGTCACTCCAGTTCCTCTTTTCATTCA